GGTTGTCGTCGTTGTTGTTGTTGTTGTTGTTGTTGTTGTTGTTGTTGTTGTTGTTGTTGTTGTTGTTGTTGTTGTTGTTGTTGTTGTTGTTGTTGTTGTTGTTGTTGTTGTTGTTGTTGTTGTTGTTGCGGATGTGTTTCTGCTGCTTCATGTGTCTCGCCCTCTGCTCCGTGCTGTGCCTCGTGCCCTTTGCCGTCTTGTGCCGCGGTCGCAGCAGGGTTGGCACGGTGAATGCCGAGCACCGCAAAGCGCTTGGCGTGGCGCAGGCTTGCAAAGTGGACACGGCCTGCATGGGCAAACTCTTCCCGGAGTTGGGGCGACAGGGATCGGCCCTTGTCGCGATGCAGAAAAGGGCACTGGCTGTCCCAGGTCACGCCCAGCCAGCAGTACACGAGGAAGCGTTGCTCCAACCACACAACTTCATTGCATTCAGTAGACGAGCGGCCGCGGTGTTTCCGCAAAGATCCGCGACGCTGTTGCCGGTCCTGTAGTTGGTCCTGTTGTTGGTCCTGTAGTTGGTCCTGTTGTTGGTCCTGTAGTTGGTCCTGTTGTTGGTCCTGTCGTTGGTCTTGGTGCTGATCCTGTTGTTGGTCCTGTTGTTGGTCTTGGTGTTGCTCTCCTTTGGGTTCTGCTTGTAGTCTCTGAGATTGGCTGGCTTTGGCCATGGCCAATGGAGTGGTGCTTTCATGGAAGAGATCACGCTGGAACGTGTCCAGCCAGTCCGAGACCACGACGCGCACCGGCTGTTGCGTGTATGGGTGGGTTCGCCAGAGGGCGTCTGCCAGTATCCACTTTGGCATTGCGCGCGGCAGGTCGTGGTACAGCTCGCGGCACGTGAACATGAGCTGCAGGAACGTGCGCACGCGGTTCCTGTCGTCGGAAGCGGTGCTCGTGTCCGTGAGCACATGGTGCGCCACAGCTGCCCAGTCCAGCACGCCCAACCTGACTGGCGGTGGTGGTGTCGGCGAGGAGGGCACTGACATGGTGATCGTTCGGAGTGTGTGTGTGTGCTGTGTGTGTGTGCGTGCGTGTGTGTGTGTGTGTGTGTGTGTGTGTGTGTGTGTGTGTGTGTGTGTGTGTGTGTGTGTGTGTGTGTGTGTGTGTGTGTGTGTGTGTGTGTGTAGGTGTGTGTGTGTGTGGCGGTGCTGTCCTCCACATACACGTTTGCAAATTGCACTTCCCACCCTGTGCAATTGGCGAAACGCCATACAAATGATGAGGACGATGAGGAGTGGAACGCGCGTCATGCTGCTTGTGGTGGTGATCGCGGCGCTCACCACCTGCTGTTGCGGTGGAGGCGGAGAAGCAGCAGGCGGCGATGCAGTTGGTGGAGGCAATGGCCATGGCTCACCGCCAATCTCGCCTCACCCTGGTGTGTCCACTTCATACTGGGAGAAGGATGGAGCGCGTGCAACACAAGGGCTGGCCATGTTCATGCAGGTGCCAGGCGACTTGGAGGATGCCCGCCGCGTGTGCGATGCCCTCGCGGAGTGCCAAGGCTTCAATGGCTTCAACACCCTCTACACATGTGTGAACGCCTCATGTGGTGTGCCTCTCACACCTGGACCACCAGCTGCCAAGGTCTTTGGCAAGACGACCACACCTCCCGTTGGCCCGCCACCACACAATGACCCCCCAGCTGGTGTGTATGAAAGCTTGTGGGTGTGTGAAAGCTTGTGTGTGTGTGAAAGCTTGTGGGTGTGTGAAAGCTTGTGGATGGAAGGGGGTTTCTTTCCTTTGAGGAAGAGGGAGAGAGAGAGAGTGTGTGTGTGTGAGTGAGTGAGTGAGAGAGAGTGAGAGAGAGTGTGTGTGAGTGAGTGAGTGTGTGTGTGTACGAATGCTTGTGGGTGGCTTTGCTTCCTTTGTGTGCGTGTGTGTGTGTGTGTGTGCGTATGAAAGCTTGTGGGTGGAAAGGCTTGGTTTCCTTTGAGAGAGAGAGAGAGCAGCCGTCCCGCGCCTCTCGTCGTTGATGAACTGAACTGCGCTCACCGTGTACCTGCTTCTTGTACACACGGTGTCGCCTGTGCAACTCATGCAGTGGATGACTTCTACTATCCGAAGGAGGAGCCCGAAGAGCGATCCAAGCTGGTGATTCCAACCGTCGTCTCAGCCTCCACAAAGGCACAAGCGGCAAACCTCTCTGTCCCTGGCCAATCACCAACCACCATCAAGGTGCGCACGCAAGTTTGCGTGCTGCATCCTTCTGTTCAGCAACACACACACACACACACACACACTGTGTGTCTTGCGCGTGCCAGGGTTCCTCATGCGTGCTCCAATCACATTGCAGGTCGAGCACATGTATCATGGCTGGCAGCTGCTGTCGGTGTTTGCCAGGTACGCGCATCAGATACACCTGCTCACATGTGCGAAGGCTCGTTTGCCGTGTGTGGATCTTGCGCGCACTTTCGTGTCATCGTATGTAGCTGATGGAAAGTGTCCTGCGCTGCTGTTTGATCGTGCCGCCAGCCCCTTGCCCTGCAACTCACACACACACACACACACACACACACACACACACACACACACACACACACACACACACACACACACACACACACACACACACACACACACACACACACGTGTGCGGAGCAGCCCGAGCGGCTCTGCAGACGGCGTTGCGGTGCTGGAGTACAAGTTCTCACGCTGGGCATTGCTCGTCATGAGGTGCACATGCCGCGGCTGCGCCTGCCGCTTGAAGACCGCCGACAGCACGATATGATCATGGGCACGATCCTCTCGGGCCTCACCGTCTACCAGGGCCTCAACCCAAACTGTACGCGCACACGTGAATGTGTGCGTGCTGTGTGCGTGTGTGAATGTGCGCTGTTTGCTCGTGTTATTGATGCTCACGCGCTGATACACACACATGACACATGAAGCATGACACATGACACACACACGCGCCCACACATATCACACACGACTCAATAACACACTGCACATCGTTTCGATGCACGTGCGGTTGCCTGTCTGCTCGCAATGCAGACGGGACGGGGATCAACTACTGGTCACCGATTCTCGCCAACGGCAGCTCGCTCCCGCTGACGACAACAGCGCTCAACAGCGCCCTGCTCGAGTGGGGCCTCGTTGACCTCGCAGCCGACCGCGTTAAAGTGTGTGTGTGTGTGTGTGTGTGTGTGTGTGTGTGTGTGTGTGTGTGTGTGTGTGTGTGTGTGTGTGTGTGTGTGTGTGTGGGCATGACCTTTATCCAAGTGCACACAGACTATGGGCAAGGTGTTGTGGATGCGTGAATAGGATATCAACATTCACCACTTCAATGTTGCGTCGCTTTCGTGCGTGGTCTCAGTATTACTTTGACAACTTTGTGCGGGACAATGGAACCATCAACATGGACGGTATGCTTGCCCAGTATTGTGCTCCTGCGTGCCTGCAAGCAAAACATGTTTCGTTGGTGTCATCACGCCCGTTGATGCTGTTGTTGAGGAGTTTGGTGCCACTCACAAACTGGTCGTCTGTGTGTGTGTGTGTGTGTGTGTGTGTGTGTGTGTGTGTGCGTTGAATTATTGTTTAGGCTGGAAGGACTACTGCTTCTTCAACAACAGTACGTTTTGGGGGATGCGGCAATGATCTCCATCATCTTCACAGAAGAATACACACACACACATGCAAACAATCCCTCGTTGACGTCGATCCTCTCTCCTCTCACCCACACGTGTAAACCGCCCCCCCCACACACACAAACTAGCGATCTTTCCTGATGGCATTGCGGACTACCCACGCCTGCTGCTCCTCTGGATTGACACATCCACAGCAAAGGGCGACCCTGCATGGTGAGCTGCGGCTTGATGCGTGTTGTTGTGCCGTATTGTGTGTGTGTGTGTGTGTGTGTGTGTGTGTGTGTGTGTGTGTGTGTGTGTGTGTGTGTGTGTGTGTGTGTGTGTGTGTGTGTGTGTGTGTGTGTGTGATCACTGAAGGAAATGTCGTCGCACAAACGCGGTGTTCAGACGCAGAAGTTAACGTGGGGTGCACCAACCACCACTCAACCACCACTCAACCACTGCCACCATCATCACCGTCATCATCGCCATCGCTGCTTTCATCGTGACTGCCGGACCCCACAGGACAAATGCGACACTTCCGCGGGCCATTGCGCTGTCGAATGTGCTGCTGGACGCGAGTATCAATGCAACAAAGGCAATACCCGCAGCCAGGTAACGATGACATGCTTGCACTGGAAATGTAAGCATGCAGTTCTGTGATCATGTGTGATTGCAAGCACGCGTTGCTTCCCAGCCATCCATTCGTTCATTCCAGTAATTCCTTCCGTCGTGTTGCTTCTCGTCGTCATGTTCACACCACTCGCACACCACCACCTCCTTTCACCACCATCACTCTCGCCTTCACCCTGTCATTGTATTCCAGCCATCTGCACGGTCTTGTCTTTGGGCCGCCGGAGCACGACACATGTACAGATCCAGGCTACTTTCTCCCAACACAGGTGCCCCATCAACGTGGTTTGTGCGTGTGTGTGTGTGTGTGTGTGTGCGTGCGTGCGTGTGTGCGTGCATGTGTGAGTGCGTGTGCATGTCGATCACAGCTGTTTCTTTGTCCCTAACATAAACCCCCCATTTGTTGCCCCCCCGCGCGTTCTGCAGGTGTGGTGGTACCGTGGCATGCTGGAGATGTCACGCTATCTGCGTCGCCTCGGTGTTGCCGGGGATCTGGCCCGTGAGCTCGCCGCGCACGCTGCTGCTCTTCCCAATCAGATCAACACCGCCATCAATGCGACCGCCACACGCGACCCACACACGGGCGAGGTGTGACGCGCCGTGCACTGCTGACTTGCTCGTCCATAGTGTTTGAGCGTGTGTGTGTGTGTTGAGAGAGTGTGTGTGCATGTGTGTTCGTGTGTGTGTTAGTGTGTGTTAGTGTGTGTATGTGTGTGTATGTGCGTGCGTGTGTGCTCTGTTCACGTCGCAACGTATGCAATGTCGTACTCATAGGAACAACGACCACCGTGACCTCCACGCCACATGTTTCAGATTGTGTTCATTCCGCCTGAGCTGCGCGATACGAGCCGCACTCCCTTCTCCTCCATGCTGAGCACCACCCTCTCAGACTACAGGTGCCACCTCGTGTTGGTTTGTGTGCATGTGTACGTGTGTGTGTGTGTGTGTGTGTGTACGTCTCTGCATGTGTGAGGGTTCGTGCTTCTTAGGCCCCTTTGAATTGGTGCATTGCTGCGTTGAACCCTTCAAATGGTAGCACCCCAACACACGCACACACGCACGCACGCACACACGCACGTTCTTCCTTCCTTGCAGCAACTTCCGCTACTGGCCGGAATCGCTGCTCGCAACAGGAATGACAGCAGAGGCAGAGACAGCACTCCTCAAATTCAGGTGAGTTGGTCTGCGAGAGAGAACGTGTGTGTGTGCGTGTGTGTGTGCGTGTGTGTGTGACTTTTGTGGTGGTGCAGCTGGTCGTGTTGTTTGTGTAGAAAGCACGCAGTAAGGCACCATGTTTGAATTCCCCCACACTACCTCAACCACAATGCACATAAACACACACACACACACATGAACCCATGACACGGCTGTTCAGGTTTGGGCACCAGGGCACCTTTGGCGGGATGAGCCGCTTCAAGGAGCGAGCAGGTGAGCTGTGCAACACTGGCACAGTCTAGCACGCATTGCACGCATTGCACAGCCCACACACTCTCATCATCAACAACCCACAGATGTTGGTGACACACACACACACATGCACGCGCGCTCACACACGCACCCATAACCGCATAAACACACACACACACACACACACACACACACACACACACCACAGATCACATGCCCGCGCTCGGGTACGGCTGGTCGTATCTGACGCACGACATGACAAGTGACTACCTCCTCTTCCTCTACGTATGCAGCTGCGCATGATTGACTGAGGCGTTGCTTGCGTCTGCACATGCACTGAGGGAGAGAGCCGAACAACACTCCCTGATCCTTGTTTTCTGATCTGCACACTCTCCCACACACACACACAACACACACACACACAACACACACACACACACTCACTCACTCACTCATACGCACGTGTATGTACACATATGCAGGCACACATGGTCAACTACCACTCCCCGGGCACGTTTGGCGCCACAGAGCAGATGAGTGAGTAACATAAGGCCACACACGCTGATTGCTGCTTTGTGATTTGTTTGTGGGTGTCGTCAGCCCACCTTACCCGAAGCTTGTCCTGGAATGAGTACCGTTGCTTTTTTTTTTCCTTTTACGCGTGACCACCACCTGTGTCGCTCATTCTTCCTGTCATCCCATCCTTTCTTCTCGTTCTCCCCCCCCCTCTGGGTGTTTGTTGCCACCGCGTGCAGCCATCATCAGCAACGACGCATACCGCTTCTACATGCTGCAGGACCGCTTTGACGACGAGGAGCGCGACCTTGGTCAGGGCGATGGCGGGCGGTGGTGCGGTGGAGTGCAGTGGCGTGTGTACTGATGGAGGTGGACAGTGAGGTGCAGTGGAGTGGCGCGTGTACTGTTGTGGACGTGCTGTGACAAGTGATGAACAGTGTTGTAGGGAGGGCCAACCATTCATCTTCTCGCTGATTACGAAAACAACACACACACACACACACACACACACATACAGACTTTTGCGTGCCGTCGACGATGCTGACGCCGTTGTTGTCCAAGTGGCAGCTGGTGTTCACACCCTTTGACAGCGATCAGATCTTCATTGCGCGCGCCGCCCCAGCGTACGCGCACGCACATGCACTGGTGCCACTGTTATGCTGCATGCATGCGTATGCCTGCGTTCTCCCTCTTGATGCACATGCACTGAACCGCACACTCCCATTGCCAACACTCCCTTCCGAGAACGTGTTTTGTGTGTCTGTGCACACACACACACACACACACACACACACACACACAAACACACGCAAACACACATACAAACACACATACAAACACGCACACACACACACACACACACACACACACACATGTTCGCAGGCGATGGTACACGGCTGAAGGGTTTGGGATTGACAACGCCCCCGCGCGGCTTGGGAGCGTCTCCTTCAATGTGACGTCGCCCAGCAGTTCACAGACCTCGGTCACCGTCACGTTCACGCCGTACGTGGTGTTGCTCGCCCGTGGCTCTGCACACATGACTTGTTCGCGGACGCGTGTGACAAGCGCAAGCTTTCTGCACTGCTCACAAGAAGCACACAAACAAACGGCTATCTGTCACCCAACCTTTTTTGTACAACTTGACATCTTGCACACACCCGTTTGTACGACTTGACATCTTGCACACACCCGTTTGTACGACTTGACATCTTTCACCCAACCTTGCATGCCACCTATCACACACACACACATGTACACACACACACATGTACACACACACATGTACACACACATGTACACACACACATACACACACATATCATGTAGGGTGAAGCGGGCGCCAGTGGCAAAGACGTTGGTGGTGCGCGTGAAGAACGCTGGTGCAACAGCAGCGCAAATCAAGGCAGCCACAGTGCACGCACAAGATGACTGCGCCTCTGTGTCCTCGATTGCACACGCCACATCCGACGTGCACATCACCCTCACCTCAGCCACAGCGACTTGCTCGTTCACCCTGCACTGCTCGCTGATGTAACTCGTGCAACTCTTCTGTGCAACACCCATGCAACACCCGTGCAACGCTGAGCCGCATGTTGTTGGAGCGTTGGAACTGCTTCGTTGGCGTTTTGGTTCCGACTTGGAATGGAAAATATACTGAAGATTTATCCGAAATTGCCAGCAAGCAGACAAAGGACAGCAAAGGCAAAGGTTCTCTGGTGGCACTCGCACCAAAACGCCATTCCAAGTTTGAGTGAGCTGGTGTGCCACTTGCAGGGCACACCTTCGCAAGAAGTGGCCAGCACGCACGCAAGCGTTCTCATGCTGCTGCTGCATGCTGCTGCATGCTGCTGCATGCTGCTGGACAGCGCGCCGTTTCGGTTGTGCTGGCCAAAGGTTTGTCAAACTGGACGTCACGCGGTGTCTGTCATGCTCCGTCACGAACAAAAGGGAAGAAGACTGCATTGCTTGTGCGACCTTCGTACTTCGTAATCGTGTATCTTCACGTGAGACTGTGAGATGCACCGACAACAGTGGCGGCAACTCAAAGTAACCCCGTGCGGGTGGAGCCGACGATACAGCGCCCAGTATGTGTGCGAGGGACTGTGCATTTTTGACCATTTTCTTTGAGTCGACTACGACGACCACCATCAAGCAAGCCAACCACAAACAACCACCACGTAACCACATCCGCGACAAAGCCACACCAGTCACCAGACCCCAAGAGGAGACAAGAACACCAAGCACACTGCACCAGCGACCGCCACTATGGATGACGACCACCAGCCGGTGCTGCAGCGTCTCCGCGCTGAGTTAGTGCGGAGACAGCGCCAGCCACGGGGACGGCCACCACGACGGCTTCACGGTCGGCCACCACGATGGCCACAGCGATGGCAACGACAACCAGAGCCCAACTACTGGGCGTTGCCGCAGCACCAGCGTAACACCGAGGACCACGACCAGCTCGTGGCTGACAACAGGGCACTCTTTGGAGGCCTGAACCATCCCATCGACGACGTGCCGTTCCAGAGTGACGGGGGCGAGCCCGGCGACGTATTCGCCCACGCGGCGCTCGATGTGGCAGGCGACGTGGGCGTCGACCAAGTGCATGTGCCACTCGATATGGATCCGCTGTTCGACGGCAACGGCGCCCAGGACTGGGGCGACCCCGGGCCTCAGCAAGGGCACGTCAACGCGGGCGCCGACATTGCTGCCGACTTGGACGTCGGCCAACTCCTTCAGCAAGCAGACAACATCCTCCGTGTTATGGAGGGATGCGTGGACCCGAATCTTCTCGGTGCTGATGCTTTGGAGCCCTTTTTCTTCAACCTCCGGGACAATGCTGGCGTGGGCCAAGCCTTGAACAACGCTGGAGAAGGCGAAGGCGAAGGCGGTGATGATGGCGGTGCCCACAATGGTGATGACCAGGGTGCAGGTAGCGATGATGAGGATGATGATGGCAATGATGAAGGACCCCGCACCACTGCCCTGAGAACCCTGCCACCAAAGCCCGAGTACGTGCACCCGCCGACTCCCTCCGACAACGATGACCTCACAGCCTTCATCGAGCAGCTGGCTCTCGGCGACGTGGACGGCGCGGAGCTGTTGCAGTTCATGGCACAGGAGGTCGACCTTGCTCGCGGGCTGGCGACCTTCTTCCAGCCTGCGCTGGTCGTAACCAGAGCCACGGCAGCGGTGATCAAGGTCGCCCTGGGACGCATCCACCCCATGCTCGAGGTGAAGTTCAAGGACCAGCGCCGCAAAGTGCAGAACAACTGGACCCAGACGTGCAAACGCCGCTTCGAGAATGCGCTCGATCACTGGCAGCGCCTCAAGACCCGCGCCCTCAGGAACGAGATCGACGCGGCCAACTACACCCTGCAGGCGCTCACGGCCCTGCAACGCCGTGTGACACCCGCTGAAGGCCCTCTTTTTGAGGGGTACTGAGCCCGATGGCGTCTCGAAGCTGAACCCTGGAGACCAGTTAGCACTTTCACGTGCAACTTCCAGCTACGCCCTCTTGCTTGTCTGCAAGTAAGCGTGGTGCTGGGAGCCTTGTCAATGTTGTGAAGAGTTGTTGTTTATGCTTGGTTGCGTGGTTGTTAGATCTCTGTGGTGTACGTGCTTGCCCATGTGCAACTGCGTTATGTGTGTGTGTGTGTGTGTGTGTGTGTGTGTGTGTGTGTGTGGTTGGGTGTTCTTCACGTGGTCCATATCTTCAAGCATTCTTCAACCCCGCTGTTTCGCGGGGAGGATAACCATGCATTGCTTGCATGTTTCTTTCTGTGTGTTGTGGTTGTTGTGCTGTTCGCTCGCTGCCTTGTGTGCTTTTGGTCCATCATCCAATACACGACACGCAACCCAAACTGACATCTGCCAAGTTGAAAGTTCTTTCTGTCTACTCTCTGTAAAAGCTGACGCAAGCAGCACCACGCAGCATCAACATCTGTGTGCAGCGTGCTCAAACAAAAGGGAGAAATAAGCAAGGAGCAAATTATGAGCATGTGATGCAAAGGGTGGTGCAAGGACAAACGCATCACTGATGCTCTAAATGTGCGATTGGTGCGGACTGCTTGCCGCGTCGTTGGGCGGCTGCTGCTGCTGCTGCTGTTGTTGTTGTGACGCTGACGATGACGACGAAGGCGGCGATTGCAGCAGTTCATCCAGCATCCCGCCAGCCATCTGAAAGCAAGGGAGTGAGTGTGTGTGTGTGAGTGAGTGAGTGAGTGTGTGTGTGAGTGAGTGAGTAAGCGAGTGAGTGAGTGCGCGCGTGTGTGAGTGAGCAAGTGAGTGAGTGAGTGTGTGAGTGAGTGAGTAAGCGAGTGAGTGAGTGAGTGAGTGAGTGAGTGAGTGAGTGAGTGAGTGAGTGAGTGAGTGAGGCCGTGTCTACTGCGGAGGACGTGGCTGTGGCGGTCTGGAGGATAAAACGATTGGTACGCTGCCATGTCTCCACCAGCGACTCACGTTCTGCAGCTTTCGTCGGCCGCGCCTGTTCGCGCCATTATCCCGACGAGTAACGCCGCCGCTGCCACCACCATTACTCGATGCTGACGATGAAGACTCTGTGATGTGCGATGGATTGGGGGGGGGGGGGCATGAACCCGCGTGAGGCGAGCGCACAGCGTGAACATGTGCAACATTCTGCGCGCTATGGTCCAAAATCGAGCACGGTGGTGTCAAAGGCAAAGGAAACCACACACACACACACACACACACACAGACACACACAGACACACACACAGAGACACACATACACACGCACACACACACACACACACACACACACACACAAAGCACAACAGGCGCACCTGGTAGGTCGTTGTTCTGTGTGCTGGCTGCGAGCTCGCTTGTTCCGCTCGCGGTGCTGGTGGCGAGTTTGCTTGTGTCGCTGCTGGTGCTGTTCTTCTTTCCTTCGGCGGCGCGGCGCTTTCGTCGGCGGGGGCGATCACTGATTCGTCATTGTTGTGGTGATGCGGAACAGCATGAGTGTGGTTCGAATGCGTGAAGCGCGCGCGCGCACACACACACACACACACACACACACACACACACACACACACACACACACACACACACACACACACACACACGCACACACACACACACAGCGACCGCACCCAAAGGCGTCGCCTGATTTGAGGTGTTGGATGAGGTCGTCCATGACACCGCGGCCCTCGCTGCCCTGAAACACAATCGTCCGCCGCTTCCGCCGGTCCTCTTTCTTCTTCTTCGCCTCCTCCTGTCGTTCCACAACAGCAAGGGTGTGAGGGAGTGAGTGAGTGAGTGAGTGTGTGTGTGTGTGTGTGTGTGTGTGTGTGTGTGTGTGTGTGCGTGTGAGAGAGTGTGTGCGCGCGCGTGTGTGTGCGTGCTGTGAAGAAGTTGCTTCGTGGATGGCTTGCCATCCTACCAAGCTCCATTTTGGACTGCAACACAACAGCGACAAACAAGCGACATCACAACGTAATAATGCAGGAGCAAACACAACAAAGAAGCAAACAAAGAAAGAAAGCAAAGCACTTCACCTCGCGTGCTTTCCGCTCGCGCTCGCGTCGCTCGGCCTCCCGCTGCTTCTCGATGTCTTTGATGGCGACCTGATGTCACGACGAGGGTTGAAGGCGGCGACGGACACGGTGGTCGTGGTGGTGAGACGGAGAAACAGGATGGCAGGTGGACGTGGTACATGCATGCATGCACATAAAACGAAGCAAACAAAGGCAACAAACACAAAAGCACGCACGGACAGACAGACAGACAGACAGATAGGCACACACACACACACACACACACACACACACTTCATGCTGTGTACGCACATCAAATTCCCTCAAGAATTCGCTGATGAGACCAAAAAACTCCTGCGTTCCGCTAAAGTCTTCAACTTTGGCACCGTAAAACGTCACAACCTGAACGGGAACCACGACGGCAAGTTCGGGATGAATGAAAGCACATGGATGCAATAAACACCCTCAGCCTTTCTACTTCCTCAACATCACACACAAGAACAAAAGTCCCCTTGACCACCATCTGTTGCAATCCCGTTTGCACTTCTTTCTCATTCCACACACGACATCTGCCCCCTCCACTCCAGTGCTTCATGCGCAGTGGTCCGGCTACACACCTGCTTGTAGCTGTTCTGGGCCTGCTCCATCAGCGATCGCAGCTTGTCAATCGTCTCCTGTTTCTCCTCCATAAACGCCTTCAGCGCAGGCTTCAACTCGTCCTTCTTCGACGACTACAGTATGTGTGCGTGTGTGTGTGATGACAAACGCGAGCAAAGTACTGTTACGGTGTTGCACTGTTGTGGGCTGCGTGTTGTTTCTTGTCGCCTGCTGTGCATGTCTCACAACTCTGCTGCACACACACACACACACACGCACACACGCACGCACGCACGTGTCACGCACCTTGGCTTTGCTGAGGGTTGTCTTCATCTTCCTCAGGCCGGCGCCAAGCAGATTCACATCGCTGCTCACGCTGTCCAAGTCAACTGTTGTGATGGCGGTACATACACACACATGCACGCGTGAGGGACGTGTTGGGTGAGGGTTGGAAAGGGGAATCATCATCGGCAATGAGCCCAACAAACAAACAAACAAACAAACAAACAAACAAACAAACAAACAAACAAACAAACAAACAAACAAACAAACAAACAAACAAACAAACAAACAAACAACCAAACAAACAAACAAACCTTTTGCAGCTGCATCCACACACTTGAGCTGCTCCGACAAGAGGCGCAGCTGTGGAATGCGATTGTCGACCGCCAGCTCCGCAAGAAAGTGCAGCAGCGTGCCCTTGTTGTCCACCGTCTTTGTGTTCTTCAACTAATGGGCAGGGAAGAGACGGGAGAGGGGAAGAAGACATCACGGTGCATTGTGTGCACAGTGGGTGCATTGCACGTAAGTTGTGTGCGTGTGTGTGTGCACTTTGCGCATGTGATGAGAGGCCTTGCCACGCGTCCAGAAAGCAAAAACGTACATGCAAATCATCACCTGAAGGCAACATGCAAATAAGAACCAAACACAACACAGCACAGCAGTTTCTGGTGTGCGGCCACGAACCTGGGTGAGGAATGGCAGCTTGAAGCCAACAGCGCACTTCTTGTTGTTGCTCGAGTTCATGTAGTTTCCAATCAGCAACACGGTCTGCAGGATACAAATATCGCGCGTGTGAGGTCGTAATGTCGTGTCGTGAGACGGTGCGTCGATGTGGCAATGATGGTCACAACGTCGTAGTTGCGGTGTCACGGCACGACAGAGACTTGAACCCAAAGTCAGCCATCAACCATTCATGCACACAGCCAAAACATCCACGTGTTTCTCACCTCCAGGAGCCGATGGAAGCTCTTGTTGGAGCGAACAATCTCCGACGCCTTCAGAATATCGTCAAGCGACTGCACACACACACACACACACACACACGCACACACACACACACGCACACACACACACACACGCACACGTATACAGACATGTGCACACGTTTACGAGTGAGGAGGACGGGTTGCGAGCACACGCGAGAGTGCAAGGTACGACATGACGCAAGGTCCGACGCAAAGGCGTGGTACGAACGCAACCAGCATCAACAACAGCACACTGGGTACGAGTAAGATCACAAAACGATGATGACGGACAACAAAAGAAATGAACGGCTGGACTCACTGGTTCCGCCTCTTTTCTCTCGTCCTCAAATCGCGACATGAACAGCAGGTGCTCAACACGTTCACTGCACACGCGATGGTGATGGTGGTGATGGTGGTGATGGTGGTGATGATGATGGCGGTGAGTTGAAAGAAAGCACCCGCTCACAGTACATCAAGCATGTGTGCGGCACAGACAGACAGATAGACAGACGACACACACACACACACACACATACACACACACGCACACACACAGACATACACGCACACACACACACACACTAACACGGTACAGCACAGAAGGACGCACGTGTATTGCGGCACTTGGATCATCTGCAGGAGGAAGCGATCGGATTTCGCAAGATCCTCTGTCTTCGACTTTGTGCTCTCAAGCGCTTTCACCTGAACAGCAGCACGGCGAAGTGGCGGGCCGTCAATTAGATGGAGTGAGGATTTGGTTGGTCGGGCAGGAGATACACGTGCACACACACACACACACACACACACACACACACACACACACGCAATAAGACAGACCTCTGTCTTGTCTGGCGCGTATTTGATGCAGTTCTCAAGGAGGGCCTGGTCAAGCGCCTTCAAATCCATGGCCAGCAGTGCCGTTTTGATTTCCTCAACGTCCATCTGTTGGCCGTGGGGTTAGGGGTAAGTGGTATGGAAAGGTGGTGAGGGGTTGGCAAGAGAAGCAGTCTGTGCATACATGCACACACATGCACACGCACTCGCACACACACACACACACACACACACACACACACACACACACACACACACACACACACACACACACACACACACACACACACACCAGCACACACCCTCCCCAGCACACAAACCGAACCAAATGGCAGCCCACCTTGACTGTGCTGAGGGCGATGGCGAGGTTTCGCGACTTGTTTGCATCGAGCACCGTGCGCTCCTGCTTCTTCTTCTTCTTCGCGTCGTCGCCAGCGCCAGCGCCGAGCTTCGACTTTGGAAGGCGCGATCTGAACCGGTCCTCCAGTACGTCAAACGGCACAGACGTCTCTGGAGGTGGCGAAATGGCAGGAACGCGTGTGAGAGAGTGTGTGCGTGTGTGTGTGTGTGAGAGAGAGAGAGAGAGAGAGAGAGAGAGAGAGAGAGAGAGAGAGTGTGTGTGTGTGTGTGTGTGTGTGTGTGAGTGTGTGTGTGCGTCGAGAGCGAGAACGAGTGAGGAAATACAACAGAATCAGCAGTAGCAGCAGCACGTACCGAGTTGGTCCTCTGCTGTTGAGACCCAGAACGTGTCCTTGATCTGGTGCGCAAATCCACGACGAAAAAGGATGCGACACATGTCAGCACACGAGGAGCGATGGTTGCAGCACAAACAGCAATAAATGTGTATAAATGGCACGCACACAGCACACAGCACACACACACACAGAGCAACACACCTGTCTTGCGTTGACCTCCACCCAGTTTGCGCGCTTCGTCTTGACTTTTGTGCGGTATTTCTTCTTCGCCACAACAGCACCACCAGGCATTCCGCCTGACAGTGTCATGGTGATGGTGGTGGTGATGGTGGTGGTGGTGATGGGATGGGGTGTCATGAGTATTGCAGTGACGATTGCGCCATGGTCACTCACCCAAGAGTCTAACCCGCACGCCCACACACACACACACACACACACACACACACACACACACACACACACACACACACACACACACACACACACACACACACACACACACACACACACAGCACACACACACAGACACAGCACACACACACACACACACACACACACACACACACACACCTGGAGGTGGGGGTGGTGGCGGTGCTCCTGGCACGCCCGGCATTGGAGGAGGCGGTGGTGCACCAGGCATCGGTGGTGGCGGTGGCGGTGGCGGTGCACCTGTTGGGAAGGCATGGCGTGTTGAAGCGATGGGGGGATGAAGGGATGAATGGATGAAGTGGGTGGTGAGGTGAACAGGAAATGAGATGGCTCACACGGATGACGCAGAGGCGCGACAAGAAGAATGCAGAGCATGAACAGGAGAGAAGCGCAAAGCAAAGAACAACAACACTACAAAACCGGGCCAACACAACGGACAACTACGCCTGCCAAATGAACATCCGAGCCCACAACCATCACAATGCACTCACCCTGTCCTGGCGGTGGCGGCGGTGGCGGTGGCGGTGGCGGCGGTGGTGGTGCAGACCCCTCTGAGCCTGGAGGAGGTGGTGGTGGAGGAGGGGGAGGTGGAGGTGGTGCTGGTGCAGCAGCTGTTGCGGTTGTTGTTGCTGCTGACGAGTCACCCTCCTGCTTTGCTGTTTCTTTTGCGTCAGGCGCGGCCTTCACCTCATTCTCAAGCGCGTCGACCTTCACGGCAAGCTCCTTAATCTGATCGTGACACGACTTGATCTCCACCTCCTTCTCCTTGATCTTCGCCTCATACGCCTCTCGCAGCTGTCGTTCCTCCTCGCGCGCGCGCGTCTCCATATCCGCCACCTCCCGCTGCGTCTTGTGCAGCTCTTCCTGCAACGCCACCGTCTCGTCCCTGGTGGGCGAGAGTGGAAGGGCGGAGTACAGACGAGGTGCGTTGCGGGGGGGGGGGGTTATGTGCGTGTGTGTGTGTGTGTGTGTGTGTGTGTGTGTGTGTGTGTGTGTGTGTGTGTGTGTGTGTGTACGTAGCACACGTGTATGTGTGTGTGTGTGTGTTCAACAACCTCAAGAGCAGTCGAAGCGATCGACACGCACACGTACACATCTCAGGACAAAATACAAGGCGCAGCAAACCAGCAAGTGCGCGTACTCGTTGTGCATGTGTTCGAGAAAGACTTCGGTGTCGAGGGAGAAGCGCCCCCGAAAGTCGGGATCAGCACCACCCTGGTCGCCACGACGACGACGAGGACGATGACGGTGGTGGGCGTGTTGAGTTGGATTGGTGATGGATACGTGAGGTGAGCATGCATCATACTGGTGGCACCAATACATCAGGAACCACCAGCACCATCATCACCACCATCACCACCAGCAGCAACGAAACAATGCCAGCACAGGCACAACTACCACCATCACCATCATCTTCGCCACCTTTCGCAGGACGATCTGGGAGACGGCCTCCTCGAGCAGCTGGAAGTAGTGCAGTCTGCCGTTGTCCGTTGGGGATGAGGTGCGTGCGGGCATGTGTGTGTGTGTGTGTGTGTGTGTGCGTGTGTGTGTGTGTGTGTGTGAGGGAGGACAGACAGACACACATGTGCACATAAACAGACAGACAGACAGACAGACACACACACACACAACCATCACACACACACACACACAACCATTTGCACCTTGCGACGGCGTCGTCGCGGATGAGGAGGAGGTGTTGGAGGATGGAGGTGAGGTAGGGCATGCACGGCGTGCCATCGAGCAGTGACTTGACGGCATAGAAGCAGTCGTCTGGGGATTGCAGCTCAAACTGAAGGTTGTGGAAACGCCCCTGAAGCTCTGCAAGGTCCTCCTCCATTTCCCCATTCCACACGTCCAACTGCCGCCCCAACGCCCCAAATCACAACGTTTGTGTGCATGCGTGTGCATGTGCAAGCGAGAATGTACATAAATGAGTACATGTGCGGATGTGAGCATGGTTTGTGCACAGGCAGGTATGAAACACAAATACACAGACAAGCATCCAAGCACACCAACGGGAAGGTGCGGCTGTATGGTACGCACGTGCGTCATGATGACATCAAAGTGGTCCGCCTCCGGTCCTTGGCGCAGGGACGCATTTGGGTCTGCAGTGCATCACGTGGTCCCCAGAACAAGAGGAAGCAGCTTTGATGGTGAGGGACGGAAGCACAGACAGGCAGATACAGACACAGGCACACAAAGGCACACAGACACACAAAGGCACACAGACACACAAAGGCACACAGACACACACAAAGGCACACAGACACACACGCACACACAGGCACACATACAGACAGACACACAGACACACAGAGACACACAGAGACACACACACACAGAGACACACAGAGACACACACACACACACACACAGACATGCACACAGCCTCACCGTCCTCCTTTGGCTTTGCGAGATCCGGGTTCTGCTGCTCAAGTTCGCGCATCATGTTGTCGAGCGCAGCCTGCAGCCCGCAGTTGTACATCTCATTGCGCAGGTGCACGCGCATGTCCACATCCTCTGGATGCGACACAATCGTGTTGTTCAGCAGCAGCACCGCAGCCTGATTTGATTTGGGGCGGGGGGGGGGCGTGATGAAGGGGAGTGGGGAGTATTTGGTGAGCCTCGAGGTTGTGGATGCGTGTGTGTGTGTGTGTGTGTATAGAGCACACTCGTTCCCACGACCAAAAGTTATCATCATCATCACCACCATCATCATCATCATCATCATCATCATCATCATCATCATCATCATCATCATTATCACCATCATCATCATCATACCCTGTGCTTGAGGTCATAATCAGCCTCCAGCAGTCGGATGAGCACGCGAAACCGCAGGCCGCCGCCTCGGTCCCGCACAATGGCACTGGTTGGTGATGGCAATGATGGTGGTGATGAGTAGAAGGGCGAAGGGGATGATGGTGATGTGACGGTGATGGTGAGTGAAAGGGGGGGGGTTGGCTTCAATGCAGCCATTTCAGCTGCTGACACGACGACACGAACAACAGACAATAACACCGCCA